AACTTTACCACTTTGAATTGGCCTGCACAGTCTGCAGATTTGAATCCCATTGAGAACCTTTGGGAGTTAATCGATTTAGAGGTGCATTCCCGACCAGTTGCTAACATCGAGGATTTATACGCGAGTATAATGGAAGCTTGGGGACAGTTCCAGGTAAACATGTGTCGGAAACTCGTCGATACCGTGCCAAAACGGCTCAGAGAAGTCATCCAGCGAAGAGGTGGACACACGCATTATTGACAATCGCCGCGTTCTATGTCTTCATGAATATTCATGAGCTTGCGTTTACACGGTATTCTCCATAGAGAATTCGAACGTTTTTTCACTGTTTCGTTCAGACTGCCGTTTTTATTCAATCCTGCATGACAATGACAATTTTGTTGTTTTTATTGTGTGTAAAAACGCATATTTTATTAGATATATAAATATATTTATTCAAACCGTTATTGAGTTTATTTTATTGTATGATATCGTAGGTAGTAGCTGCCTGTAGTGTGGTGCGTAAATACTTTCTGGCGGGTCTGTATATGTCACATAAAATCACGTACTTACCACGGGTACTTTCCTGTCGCATTCTCTCCTGATCTCTCTTAATTGCTTCAACTCCACCTTGCTGTTCGATAAAGTCGTGGATAAATTTTGATGTTTCCTTATCTTTCAACTGTTCTTCAGAGATACCAACTGTGTCAAATAAATTCTTCACATCTGGATCAAGATTGTCAGTCTAAAATGAAAAAATCAATTTACAATTTGTTTTGACTGAATTTTCTAGAAATATTGATTGTGAGTTCAATTGAAAATGAAAATCAATTGAGTCGCATGGACACATCCAATGACATTTTTTTAGAAGAGCACATAATTTCAAGAAGAGTATATTTTTCTGTATACAATCACAAAGCGTAACGTGAACTATTCTTTTTACAAAATTCACTTACATCAAATCCTTTTTCTGGGTCCCAACCAACATGACCAACATGTCTGGTGATAAAGAATATTCCTAGTTATTAAATTAAATGTAGTCAGAACTTCTTAAACTATGCAGCTTTCACCAAGTTTAAAAGCCAGCAGTAGGAACTATCATTAAATTCAATTAAGTTTAAAAAAGGTAGGTGTCAGAACTTAAACTACTAAACTGTATTGCTAAATTCACCAAGTTTAAAAATGATAACTGTCAGAACTTCTTAAACTAGTGCTGAATTCACCAACTTAAAAAAAGGTAGCAGTCAATAACTGTTAAACTATTGTTAAATTCACTAAAACCAGTTTTTTTTGTATTGTAAGTGTAACATTACTTAACTTTTTATTTTAAAATCTAGTTAAAAGTCTATGAAAGTAAGACCTTCATCAACTGAAAAATTTATATTTTTGGCTGATTTATGGAATGAGTACATTCTTCATATAGCTTTTAGGATAGTGTAGTACAGCATGGGATGTGATATAATATAATTGCTTGCCTAAAATCACTTGGTAATCCAATATCTGCTTTGGATAACTTTGCTTTTTTTTCTTTTTCTTTTGATTTCTTTTTTTTCTTCAATGTATTTGGAGTTGGTGATGGAGCAGGTAATGATGCTACAACAGAAGAATGAAATGTGAGTTCTATATATCAGTGTGAAGTTAGATCACAATGCCTCATGAACGGTGAATGCATAAGCAAGTGAATTAAAGTGCAGAGAAAATTTATTTCACTAAAATCAGTCAAGTTGGACGATTGTTTTTGATCATTAATCGTTTGATAATGGTGACCTTGTAAAGCCATTAAAATGAACAATTCCACTCATTTTTTTTTCAGAGCATTTTAACTAACTTATACCGGTAGTCATTATTTGTTTATTTTAGAGTTGTTTTTAATATTTTTGAACAATTTACAACTTTTTGAACATGTTCACAATATTTTGACCATTGTATGAAATATATATATAATACGATCTGTTTTAACCTTTTTATCACCAGACTTTCTCGTCCAAATATTTTTTTCCTTTATTTTATTTTAAAATTCATTTGAAAATATATTCCGTACAACGAAAGCCAAAATGTCTTTTCCACACATTACAAAAAAAGAATTGAAAATATCATCACAAAATAAACAAAATCTGAGAGAGGTCCACCTGTAGTACCTATATCAAATCAATCGGACATTTTACCAAAAATGATAAAAATATTCATCAAAATTAGAGAATTAAAGATTTCTACATGAAATGAAAAAAAGCTGAGAGAGGTCCACCTGTAGTACCTATATGTATAATATCAAATCAATCAGACTTTTTACCAAAAATGACAAAAATATTATCAAAATTAGAGAATTGAAGATATCTACAAGAAATGAAAAAAGCTGAGAGAGGTCTACTCAAGGTACATATACACCAAGTATCAAAGCAATGAGGCTTATAGTTTTCAAGAAGAAGTCGAAAATGTAAAAAGTTGACGCGGATGATGACAAATGACAATGGACAATCAATGTACTTACCAATTGGTGCAGCAGTCGGTGTTGGTGATGGTGGTGGAACTCTGCCTTGCTTCTTTTCTAAAAAGAAAATAATAAACAATAATACTTTAAATTTCAGAGATGCCATGTTACAGGGTGTTCTGCAAGGGGGGAGCTATATTGTAAGCTATAAGTGGTCACTTACATGTTGGATTTCTGTAACACATTAATTATCCACTGTGATTTAATAAATTAAACATGCTAAATTTAGCACATTAGTTATCCACTGGGGGGGGGGGGTTTAGTATAAAATAGTATTATTGAACATAGTTGTTTCTACATGCTGTAAATTCAGTTAAATATTTTATTTCACTTTGTGTTTATTTCATGTATTTCAGTTTCATGTCTGGGTACCTTGTCACAATGCAGAGTGTGTTTTTGCTTTTTTTTTTCCCAGTGTAGTGCAGCTTAAGTGGGACACGGAGAGCATCCCTTATACCAATAAAGTATTTTTAAATTGTAACTTGTAGTGTTTGTAAAACTATTGTGATTATTAAAATTATTTTCAACTGTAATTGACAAAATATTTCATATAAAAAGTGAACTTTGAATCAGTGGTAGGCAGTTTTTGATTGATTACTTTTAACATTTACCTTAACAAAATATGATTTTAAATTTCAGTTTATAGGAAATTATAATATTGTATGCTATGGAAAAATCATGTTTTCATTTTGCATTTGATACCATGTGGAACCTTGATGATGTATGTATGCTAGTGCTTGAGGTCACCCAATCAAACCTACCATGATTATGTTCCTTAATACTATATGTACTGTATTAGTCTCAGTGTCCCTTATAAATATATATGCAGTGCAGTGATATACATATATAAGCAAGTATTTTATCTTTGGAGTGAGACTTAACCTCCAATAGGTCTGATAACAAAAGTATATATCTTTTCATTTTTTTTTCAAAATTGATTTGTTTTTTAATAACTGTTTTTATTTATTGTTTTCAACAACTTTTGGATATTACAGAACTCAGTGACCAGATTAGGCAACCCCCACATAGTCACCATTTTCGCCATAGAGGGCTTACTTTTATCAAGTTACAATACAACTAAAATAGATTTACAAACCTTGTTTCCTTGCCTGTTTCTGCATAATTTTCTCAATAATCACATTTTTAAATCCACTGGCTTCTTTTTCATTGGCAAAGTTAAGAGCTGCTTGACAATCCTAAATGCAAATAAATGTATTACCATATTTGCTCTACTGTAACATACATTATTTTTGCTTGGAATTCATTTTCACTATTTTTGTTTAATTAAGAAATGATCCAGTGAAAATAAAAACCAGCGAATATACCCAAAAAGTCTTATTAGCAAAACAATTAATTCCAGCTGAAATAAAGTATTTTACAGTATTATAAGCAATTACTCAAAAAAACTTAACCCATGATAGCTGTGATTGATTGTGCATTGTGACCTATTTAACCAAAGTATGCATAAACAAAAAAAAAGCTCTTGTTTGATCACAAAAATTTATTCACGACACTGAAACTGAAACTCATTAGCATAATACTTACATCCGTAGCAAACGTGTGAAAGAATGATTTTGGCGTTCCATATTTAAATTGATTATATAACTCTTGTTCCCATACCATGTTGTATCTGTAACTATTCTGTAACAAAATAAAATAATTTTTTCTGTAAATATTTTACTAATGATTATGTCTGATTTAATGTACTTATTATTGTTCTTCTACATATTTTTGAATCACCAACAATGTAAAATAAAGATATGCCAACAGAAACCACAATATTTTGAAATCTCCTCCAAATAAAGTCAATTGTACCAACGAAATTGGAAAAGTTGACTTAAGCTGATGACCTGATAAATACGCTAGCCTGCTGACTCCTGGAACCACTGGAAACAAAATGTCAGGTCATAATATCATATCTATTTACTTGATAGGTTGACTCCTATTTTAAAACAACTATCACAATTACCTACTTATTCTACCGTTGGTTGAATGTATTATTTTTTAATATTGATCATACATATTCATTTTTTAATAATAAGCAGCTAATAAACACTTCCACTAGAGGGCGCAGTAGAAGAAACCAGTCATGGTAATTTCAAGTGTCAATCAGAGATATGGTAAATTTATTCTTGACTATTTGAGTGCTGAAATCAATTTCAGACACCATCCACAAAATTAGTTAAATTTATCTACTATATTTTTCCAAATAAAATTAAATTTTTTGCTCAAAAACTAGAAGCTATGTCACATTTTGCCTGTGCGCTACAACATTAAAATTGAATTCAATTAAAATTTTAGAAAATTTGAAAAAAAATTACCTAAAATTTACCCCCCCCCCCCCAAAAAAAAATTGGTACTCAAAAAATATTATCATATAAAAATGCCTCTGAGTGGACCAGTCTAATATTCCCCTTACGAACAACTTCTATAGAATTCTGTATAATTTCTATAGAATTCTGTATAATTTCTATAGAATTCCGTAGAATTTCTATAGAATTCCATATAATTCCATAGAATTTCTATAAAATTCTATAGAACTTCCATACACTTCTATAGAATAATCAATACAAATTCTATAGAATTTTTTCATAAGGGTGATTGTAAAATGGGGAGTCTTTTTGCAACAAACCATATACATTGTATAAGCCATTGATGGATATTCAACAATCGTAGCCATTATACATGTAGGCTGGTAAATATAATTATGATTTGATATGATTAAATTGAAATATTATAAATATATCATACACAAGAGAAACAAACACTGTGTCGATCCTATTTCAAAGGAATCATAAATGCAGATAAAGACAAAATACATGCAACCGAACATGGTATACAGACATACTGAAAGCAGTTGAAAATGTTTGATGAATTAAATGAAAATCATAATTTATGAAAAATTTGCCTAACATTTTTTTGAGTTTCAGTTTTGGTGCTAACCAGCCTTTACCATTAAAAGAATGCCTTTGTTGTGCCAACAAGACTATGCACATTTTTTTTTTTTTAAATAAGACATTTAGTTTTAAAAGCATTATGTTTGTCACTAACTAGACACCAAAAAATGTATAAAAATAATGCATTATTCATTTTTTATATTTTGCAAACACTTATGTGTTTTTTAAACTGGGTGTGTTTAACCTTTTCACTGCCAGTTCCATCTTTTCACCACAAATTCACAAAATAATCTGAAATAATAGATTAGATCAAAAATAGCAAAATTGTTTGACTAAATACTGAAAATTGACTCGAATTCTGTATGTTGGCTCAAAAATTAGGGTTTATTTCCTGAAATATTGAAGAATATAAGGAAAAAGTGCAAAAAAATTTGGGCAAAAAAGTCTGGTGGTGAAAAGGTGAAAAGATCAAGTTATAGCAAGTAGAAACACAGAAAAAAAAATGAGCAACATATATCAAGAGGACCATCACCTTTTTGTTGGACGTTCTTACCTGAATGTCATAAATACGTATGAAGTAAGATCGTTTGGGATTGTCTTTAACGAAACAAGCAACTCCACAAAGCTGCTGAGTCCATCTATCTCTAACAGGAAATGCATAATATAGCTGAACCACAGCAGTCGCTAAAGTCTGGAATACGCAAAAATAAAAAAGAATAGTTACATCTCTCTTATACATCTGTTGGCTGAAATCAAGTCACATGGTGATGATAAACTGCAACTATTGGCTGAAATTAAGTCACATGGTGATGATAAACTGCAACTATTAGCTGAAATCAAGTCACATGATGGCAATGAAGTGCAACCATTGGCTGAAATCAAGTCACATGATTACAATGAAGTGCAACCATTGGCTAAAATCAAGTCACATGATGATGACAATATGTAAATATGTCACCTGTGAGAGAAAATAATCACTTATTTTCACAACCGGGAAATTGATAAGAATATTTTATATTGCAAAAAAAAGCATGTTATTATATAACTGTACGTGTAATATATATATATATATATTTTTTAAACATTTTATTGAGTCCCCTTATAAGATTTACAAGTGTAAAGAAACATGAAAGTTGGTACTGTAAACGTTAAAATGGTTTGAATACAAGATTACAATATTCTGTCTTTAGTGGCCTGGTCGGTATCCATAAGTTGTAATTTCCCCCACTTTTATTTTGTCAACTTTAAGACATGCGTGTATATATTTTACATCCAGTATGAAAGTGAATAATTTCCAATACCAAACAGGAAAAAACTCAAATAGTGGCCAAACACTGCAGCCATTTTGGATTTGTCTTATTCATTGCTGGTATGTTATGTATGGAGCCAAAATTATGTGACAAATTATAGACCAATTAATTTTTGATGATGTCACATGTTGAATAATATAATATTGTTTCAAAACTGGATGTCTTTATTTTGACCTGAACCTGCATATACTTATTTACATAACAACAGAATGTTTACAGAAACATATCCTGAAAAATAACCATTCCACTACAGACATTTTACACAATATCGAAACAAAATAGCAGGCAATGTTTAGACTACAATAATTTTCTCCAATTACATCATATTAAAATTTATTAAAGTTTACTGGTGGATATTTACATTTTAATTTTTTTTTCATGTTTTTTTTGTAGTCATATACGTCTCAATCGCCATTTTTTCTCGCCTGACATAAGGAGAACATGAACTGGAAAAGAAAAAGAATCAGGAAGTGCATATTGCAGCAGGGAATTGCAAATGGATTTTGTTTGAATTTCAAATATAATAGAGTATACTCAAGTTGTCTGTGTTACGGTTAATAATTGAGTCTGATTCAATAGGTGACGGGGACTTTATAATAAATAACATTGTATGCATCGTGAACAACACCCTGTTGGGAAAACAGAAACACCATGTACCCACCCAATATACTTATCAATAATTCCAAGAATCAACAAACCAGATATGCCCACTCACCACACATCTGTTTCCAAGAACATTGAACAGTTGGTCGTTCTCTTGAGCGCTGAGAAGATTTGATGGCACATTTGTAGGTGATTTCTTCGTCTGATGGTCGACGTTCGCCATTATGATTATAGACTTCCAACTTTATTTCGTCCTACTTCCGTGTTCACCTGGCATTTACATGTTAGTACCTAAACTCTCTTTAGTCGTCTCCTACCGTTGGCGGCGTCGTCGTCTAAGACAAGTTACATGACTGACCAAATAATATAAATGACCTCCTTGGTTTGTCGAGGCAGCAGCTCCCTGGTCGAGGTTAGTACAGACCTCGTCAACGAAGCATGGAACACTGTCCCAGGCCAGGGCATCCGCGGTCCATTGGGGTTAGAGAATAATCTGATTCTGGAACCGGACTTTGACTGCTCGCGTACATTTTCCTGAACTTCCATGCAAGTCACATCGCCGCGAATACTGTAATAAATGGAATCCGGTGACATTATTTGTGTGTGATTGTGTGTGTGGTATGGACAGTGACGCAGAGATCTGCGGATGGTTTGTCTCAGAATAGAGCTAAAAAGATAGCTTCAGCCACCATGGTTTCAGTTACCCACAATGGACCTGCCGATGGATTGCCCTGCATTCTACCTACCGTTGTTAACACAAATAATAGTCCACATACAGATAATTTAGTCATGGTTGACTTGGCATTATGAAAAATATGAAATCTACCAATACGGGTACGCATACACGAGTTGATGCCAGACTGGATTTACAGTACCTTCCCTGCCCGCGCGATCGCCCGCGCGTTACTGTTCGTTATACTGCCCTCAACGTTATTTGTTTTCATACGCAAGCTACTAGTACTTAAACTTCTCTCTGGAGAAGCTCTTTCGAAGCCCAAAATAGTGTTAGTACTATCTCAATGTTGTAAAATACACAACTACATGTTGTTCTGCAGACAAATCAATTATATATATATATATATATATATATATATATATATATATATATATATATATATATATATATATATATATATATATTTGTAATAGAGTATGCGAGGCAACAAATTTTGGTGAAAATCACGGTTGGGGAAACCAGATCCATAAAAAAACAACCCTTAGAACTTGTTTTCAAGAAAAATCCAACAAATTCACCAGAAAAACACAACCCTTATATAAACTGGATCAAAATAATCATGGTAAGATGGATCTATCATTACTGCATATCACACAACAAAAATACCATCTCTTTTATTCATGAAAATGACAAAAAAACTGGAACCATTGCCCCTTTTTGAACATAATTTGTCGACACCTTGGGTGCCTCACATACTTAATGGTTGCCACTAGTGCTCTCTTGATTTGTTTTCAATTAAACTCAAAAGGTTTTTATTTTTTATTTTTTGACATGCTTGGGATAGATGGTGAATGCAACACGAATATAAACAATGACTTTTATAGAAATCAGGAGAATTTTCACTACAAATTACACTTAATCTGTCACCGTCGGTGATGACCAGTCACACTTGATCCAATCAAAGTATTAAGCAAATTAGACCCTCAATGTAATTATCCTTTTTTTTTTTTTTTTAGAAAAAACACATCCCAGGCACATTTTTTTGACAGGCAGGCAGGCAGAAATGGGTCAGAGAAACGATTATTAAAAAAAACAAAAGAAACACAGATATGGACATAGAGGAAGTAATTTACATTTTATTACTTCAACAACGGATAAATATGAGTGATACACATACATGATAAACTTAATATCAAATCCATTAACTACAAAACTGTACTCTAGTTTGATAAAAATATTTACAATGACTTCAAAAAAATGAAAATAATAGAAAATTTAGTTAAAGCAAACAACTGAACAACAAACTTGCAACCTGTGACAATACAGCATTACAAAAAGAAAGCCTGGCAAACAAACTGTTGATTTGATATGGCTTTGCATGAGGTAGTTCTCCCTTTCAAGCGAATGATAACATTCAGAAAAAAAATATATAATAGGTTAAAAAAGTTAAAATATTTGTTATGAAATATACATTGCAGTGGGCCTATGTTGTATTCAGGTATTAACATGGCATTTACCATATCTATGTATTGAAGTAACCATGGTAACGTTTCTATTATTTACACTTGAAATGCATAGTATTGTTAGTTTGCACATGAACTTTACCTATTGAAAAAAATAGTGTTAATTAGTGCAACAGACATTCATATATGCTAAACAGTGACTGGACTGTACAAAAACAGATTTGGTTTTGAGTTGTGACTTTAAATGAGGTAAATTAGACATTACACAAAAAAATATGCTTCCATTGCAAAGATTATAATTATAAATCAACTGAATAAAGTATTTCCATCAAGCAGGAACAAAAAATAATTTCAATTGTCCATTGTTTTCCTTTTTTTGGCCACACTTTAAATGCATAAAAATAATGAAAAACACATTATACCCTCTATTATGTGTAATCAAAATTGAATATAAAAACTGAAAAATGTATAAAAATATTACCCTAATATTTATTTTAGGTAAAGCCTCATTAGTTGTCAGAATATTACACCAAGGCAGTAACCGTTAGTCTAACTTACATAATTTGTAATAATTATTTTCACGGGTAAACCATTTTTGTACTCGTTACATTTGGTGTGAAAGTTGTCATAACTATCAATTCATCGTACGAAACCGTTAATACCTGCGACCCCACGATACCAATAATGAAGAGAGCAAGTACCAGGATAAGGACAGCGATTCTACGCAGGATGATTTCAATGCTTAGTTTGAATTCTTGGGTGTTACCGGCTTGCGGCGAAGTGCTGTCTTCGGGATCTTTCAACAGATCCATTTCATCTTCATCTACTGGTTCATTATTGATTTCGTTGTTTACTGGATTGTAAGTTATGTTAATAGGCGATGATGACTGAACGGTTTTTGTTTCAGTGAACGTCACAATTCTAGCTTTGGTCTTCTTGCGCATACCAGCTCTTATCTGGGCCTATTGATTATAAATTTGTAATAATTAGTCGGCAAGATGATTACCCGGTACATCGTTTTTTTTCAAAACTGTGGACAGAATAGTATGAATATTCTATGTATGCTGGAGACCTGTGTAATACACTGTTTATCAATATTGTTTGTCTGTGTTTTATTATTTACTGCCTGTCTCAGTACTTTCTAAATTACGATATGCGTATGAATCTCATGTCAACAAACAATATATAACACATGCATCTTATTTGTTGCTATGAGTCCAACATTGAACAGTGTTGCCATGACCACCATGCTTCAATTATCAAATCGACAAAATATTTAGCAATATAACTGTATCGTTGTAACACACAAAATTAAATATCAAATAAAACAAGAGTCTTAGTCTTTTCCTGATACATTATTATTGTGATGCAAAATGTACCTTATGTTCTTGCCTATCCCAGTTAATTCTATAAATAGCTATAAGGAATATGATTCCTTGAACTATAGCAGCTATTGTATAGCCCCACCACAGACCTGAAATGAGAACAAAATAATTCACTGAAATTGCACAAAACTTAACCACTAGTTTTTACATAAAAGGCAGAATTATGTACATCAAGAAAACCTGCTCTCTAATTGGTCCAATTATTTGGTATTAGGGCTGGGTAGCCAATCATACACAATCTTGTAAAAATGCAAAACGGAAAAATAATAAAAACTGGTGTATGTTATGTGCCCCGTTATGTGGCATTAATAATATTAGTATAGAACTCACCATGTATTCCCATCATGACCACAAACATCAAAGTTATACCAACTGGAAATCCCACAAAATAGTATCCAATTGCATCCAGAAAAGCTCCAAGACGTTGCAGACCGCATCCTCTCATCACACCCGCACAACAAGCCTACAAGAAACAACGTTACCATGCATCATTAACACTGGAATAAAAAATATAATTACCGGTACATCGCGTCTGACGGTAATGCAGGAAAATCAGGAATCAGGAATTGTACACATCACCTACAAGTTGGTTATCCAAGTTTGTGAGTAGAGAAAGGCCAAAAAGAGAAGATTTCGCTTCTCATCCCAGGAAAAATGATGTAGTTGTAATTTTTTGCTATACAATAATGATAAAATAAGTTTAACATTAAATAATGCTCTGAAATGCAAAAAGCTGCATTCCCAGCATTTATAATTGACAATAATTTAATTTTTCAATTATACTTCATGTGTATTGCTTCCAGAATACAAATTACGTACACCTATTAAATGCTGTATTTGGTTCCTATTTCCTAAATACCAGTATGAAGACATTTTAGGATTGAAATTCTTTGTTTTATGCTAGCAATACAAACATGTCAACGATCATCGATCATGCAATTATTAAAGAATACTCACAGCTGTGGAGTCAAAAAACTGGAACAGCGCCACCAGTGGCAGTACAGAGCTGACCATATCAACTACATCCCTAGAAAGAAAGAGAGCTTGTTTCAGATTTCAGAGATACATGGAACTGCTAGAAGAATTCAAAATAACAGTATTTATTTATTTATATTTATTTATCCTTTTATTTATTATTCTTGTGCTTGATATTGGAGAGTTAAAATCTATTAAATCTTGTACAATAGTTTTTCAGAAATATCATATTTGCTCTCATGTAAATTACAATGTTATTTCCAATAGAATAAATACAGTTGGAGTTTAAAGGCAGTGGTTGTTGTGCACAAAAGACATACATGTTATGGTTTACATTAAAAACAAAATTTTTTCAATTTGAGAAACGACTTACTGATCATCAGTGAATGCCCATCCAACCACAGTTTTAATTGCTAAATACAGAACTGCAATAATTACAGCACCAATCCCTGCAGCAATAAAAACAACAACATTTTAGTCAAAAAATAAATAAAAATAAATAACAAGCAGCCTCTCGGCTGAGATAGCTCCGCTGTTAGCAATGCACATTTCAATTAAAGAACAGAAGATATCATTAGAAAATGAACAATATGTATTGTATCAAGCAATGGGACTTGCTGTTTTCAACAAGAATTCAAAAATATCACTTTTTACGAAAAATTACAAAAATATTCACCAAAATTAGAGAATTAAAGATATCATTACAAAATGAACAAATCTGAGAGAGGTCCACATGTAGTACCAATAAATGTAATATAAATGCAATCGGACTTGCGGTTTTTAACAAGAAGTCGAAAATATAACTTTTTATCAAAAATTACAAAAATATTCACCAAAATTAGAGAATTAAAGATCTCATTACAAAATGAACAAATCTGAGAGTGGTCCACATGTAGTACCTATATATGTAATATAAAAGCAATCAGACTTGCGGTTTTTAACAAGAAGTCGAAAATATCACTTTTTACCAAAAATGGCAAAAATATTCACCAAAATTAGAGAATTAAAGATATCATTACAAAATGAACAAATCTGAGAGAGGTCTACATGTAGTACCTATATATGTAATATCAAAGCAATTGGACTTGCGGTTTTTAACAAGAAGTCGAAAATATCACTTTTTACCAAAAATGACAAAAATTAGAGAATTAAAGATATCAACATGAAACGAACAAGCCTAAGTGAGGTCTACCCAAGGTACATATACACCAAGTATCAAAGCATTCAGGCTTGTAGTTTTCAAGAAGAAGTCGAAAAAGTAAAACATTGACACGGACGACGACGACGGACAATCATTCATATAATAAGCTCTGCTCGACAAAGTCGACAGCGGAGCTAAAAATTATATTATAATATTTTGCAAAATAATGAGATGGTTGTTCTCAACACTCAAAAGATACAACTGAGGAGATAATAGTGTGTACATTACATATGCTTTTTGTGTTTTGTTATTCACCACTTCTCATTTTGTTGGCGAAGATTTTTAATATTACTCGCTTCATGGGAAATACTGTACATCAACTTTACAAGAAAAAAATGCAGCGCATCTGTGATGCGTACGTGTACGTGACTTGACATAGTATCAGCATGCATACAGACATGATTATAATATTGTTGGTTGCTCTAACTTGCATGCATTATTGAGTTGGGGCGGTTCAAGACCAGTACCGAATATGTCAGTAAGCGGACAGTTAATTGGATCGTGCGGGTGTTCCGAGACTGAATACTCACATGTACAGATGAGAGAGACTTTAGTGATTGTCTTGGCTCTGTCACGTTCAAGAGCACCAAGTGCATTGCCGACTCTCACATTGGCAGCCAGTGACATACCATATGGAAACTACAATAAAAAAAAAAATTTTGAAACATATTATATATAAAATCTAAGGTACAACCAGCCATAAACATAAGCTTAGTGGACACAAAAATGGTTTTCTTTTATCAATTTATTATGTATTCGTTCAGTAATGAATTTCTTTCTTTGTCAAATAAATGCACATATTCCAATCAATTAGTGAATATTAAAATGATTCTCTAGGACTACACAAATTATATTATGAAATTCAGATTCTGATTTCATGAAAGAAGTTCAAACACTAAAGTAAACCATTGAAGTTTGATAGCGGTTGTGATTGTTACTGTGATAATGTTCATACAGCAACAAAATTTCAAAATTTTTGTAGCATATAATGCACTTCACAATACTCTAAAATGATTAATTTTCACTGGGTTAAAATTTCGCTGATTTACCATTTCAGGCATATTCATAGGGTTTTAAATTCACGGTTTTATCATTTAGATAATGTGTTCTATGCTAAATTTGACATATTCATTGGGTTTTAATTTGGCTCATATTTCCAGTCAGCGAAATAAGCAAGTGAATAATTAAACCTTTTACAGTAGTGGTTAATTCTGTTCTATTAACAAAACAAAACCATGCTTACCACAAACGTGATGAGTGCGAGTTGATATACAATACCCTGAGTTGCTAGTGCATACTCTCCAACAGCACCTACATAGAATAGAACAGTAACACATGTTGTAAATTGCACCAAATATTAGCAGTTACATATTGAAATGCACAAATAGGTGATTTTCCTAACAATTGCGAGATCTTGCGAGATGCATGAAAGACGCGCGTCGAACGTCTGCCGCAAAAATCGAACGATTTGATTTTGAACTTGAATTTCTTTATTTCGTAGCTCACATCGACCGACCAATCTTCGACAGAGGAATATTGCTTTCGAATACCCTCACTTAATCGAAATTGTCTATCATCAAATGTGTACAGCAAATTATTAAGCATGAAAATGCCCTCAAAATATTTTTGCGATTGTTGATTCCCACGCGATGTTTGACGCCTCTACGACGCTATGACCTTTGTTTGTCCTGTTTTTACGTTCGATTTCATGCACAACGCGTGATTCTCGCAGTGAACGGAAAATGGTCTATTTAAGCACAATTCTTGCTTAAATGTTTACAAGAAGTCACATTTTAAACAGCCATGTGAGACTTTAAAATGACTGACGATAGTGTATGATCACAGGTTTATTCAAATCAAATCTCAAGGCAGACAATAGTGTAAAATAAGATTAACACATCTGGTAATATTTGTGTACATAGATGAGCTAGCCATTCAAATTGCATTTCCCATGATGCACTGGTGCTGAGTCACATTTTAAGTAATACTGAGAAAGAGACACTTAATTAACTTCTCGTAAAGACAAATGTATACAGATAAACAGGTTTATATTTTAATTTGAACTTCACATGTATTAATTAATTATTTTTGCCATTTACCGAGTCATTTATACAGTACATTACCTGAGAGAATGACTCCAAACTCCAATGCCCACATTTCCAGACATACCAAGAATATACCAGCTGCACCAAGACGGGTAAAACTACTCCAATCATACAAACATTTGAGTGACCAACCTATAAATAAATATTAAATATCAATAATTAATAAATAAATGCATTCTTGTTACATTTTTAAACTAATTAACATAAATAATTACTAATATTATGAAGACTATAGAATATTGTAATAGAGTAGTGTTAGATGTAAAAGTATATGCTATAAGACCAGGAAAAATGTTTTGGATCAATTAGTTTTCTAAAATCGACCAAAATATTATTTTAATTCTGAAATTGTCATTAAATTTGTGGTTTATCATGGAAACTGAATCTTTCTTTTAAATTTTGAAAAATTCGGATGAAAAAAACCTAAACGTAAAACTGTGACGGACAAGTTTCAACTGATGAGTATAGTTATGAGAAACAAAAATAATTTTTGCCTGGGCCTACTGTAAAAGGATTAATTATACACTTGGTTTTAATTTTGCTTATTTCACTGACTGGAAAATGTGGTAAATTAAAACACAACGAATATGTAAAATTTAGCATAGAACAAATTATCTAAATGAAAAAACCGCAAATTTAAAAACCCATTGAATATACCTGAATGGTAAACCAGCGAAATTTAAACACAGTGAAAATTAGTCATTTTACAGCACTTGATATATTAATGTCTGGGTAAGTTACCTGGCCACGTTGATGCATGTAATCTTCGTTTCCAGATGTATACGGCAAGTATGATAGCCAAGACCCAGTGAGACAACACCTGTGCAATGGCAGCACCCCTGAAATAATAGAATATTCCAGCATTGAGCGGCAAAGTTAACTTTTGTCAGCTACATTCACAAATTAATTTCAAATAATTTGTTTTAAATTTTTCAAAATTTTTTAACCAAGACCTGCAGCTAATGGGGAAATAAGTCCATTTTGTCCAAAATTATTAACCAAATTATGGAAAAATACTTCAAAATAGGAAAAATGTGGCACCAAATTTTTGGTGCGAAAAATTACGACATTCAAAAGATTGAAAAAATAATGTTCATAATTTATGAGTATTTTTGAGCTTGTTCAAATAACTTGATAATGATAAGAATAAAATGAATTTTTTAGTTAAATTGAAAAATAAAATAAAATTTAGATTGTACTGAATTATAAGTCGGGCCTGTCCAATAATTTCGATAAAATACTTAAGATTGAACTCACCGAACGCCAAGATTTGCTGAAAATATTAGTATGTAGTGTAGCGGGATATTGATGACATTAGCGATAGCAGCAACTACCACAATTGGCAGGACAATACTCTGACATTGCAGAAACTTACTCAATACAATATAAATATACACAGCCTAGAAAAAAACAACAATGAAAGTCATCGTCATAGCGCCCTCAATATTAGAAGCATAGTAGCTCAAATAGAAGCATACAGAAACTAAAAAGTTGAAAATGGATTGGTACAAAAAAGTATCTGTTTCTAGATCACACATGTGTCAAAAAAAAAAAATATTTAAAAAAAAAACAAAAGAATGAGAGAAGGGGACGCTTGGTGGCACACAACTCAACGGATGCATAGAATCTTCTCAATTGGCATGTACAGGATTAATATTTATATTGATTTGCCAAGACATTCTGCTCGGTTGATGTATTGCCCACTTCAGTGTTACAGAAAAAAAAAATTTTTTGTAAGAAGCCTTGAACCAGAAACAGATCTTTTTTTTTCTGTATACAATATCATTAAGTCTTTGAGCACCATTGTCAATTTTTGGCATCAAATATTTCTGTACGGTCTGCACCTGACATGAAATCTTGATAAAAAATTGACAAACTCTTTTTAACTAATCCTAAAAGCCAATGACAAATACTGTCTGCATAATTCAAAATTATGTTGAAATTTAAGGAAATTTTGTAAAATGTGTACAAATTTTGAGGGGAAAAACATCAAGGGACCATTATGTGAGTGCTGCTAACAGAACAAAAACAGTAGATGTCCAGGGTTGTTTGTTTGGAAATTATGTCCAGGGTTGTTTGTTTGGAAATTATGTCCAGGGTTGTTTGTTTGGAAATTATTTCCAGGGTTGTTTGTTTGGAAATTGTGTCCAGGGTTGTTTGTTTGGAAATTATGTTAATGAGTACAAATAGTGAAATATTGCAACTAGTGAGATGACAAAAGATCTAGTCACCTGACCCAATCACCCGACCCTAAGTGAGATAGGTTTGCTTCAGCGCACACAACTGGAAGATTTGATGTGTGCTCGACATTGTCATCAAAAATATGCATGCATCACATTAGTTGAACAAACCAAGTCAACAGCTAAAATGTGAGCTGTGTAAAAAAAAAGACAATTTCAAGATAAATTTCAGCCATGACATGATTCGAGTAAAACACATGGCAACGATATCGTCAAGGTTTAATTATACTATCACAATAATACATTGAATTATAGAGATTATAATTTTTACACTGCAGTGCTAGGAAACATAACTACCATATTTGTTATAATAGTAGTGCAGGTACTATGAATAAGTCTATGGTTACATAGTATACAAAGAATAAGTTTTGTTTTATGTGTTCTTCTAATAGAGATGCACTTCTAACAGAGTAAATGTATATCAAAAATATTTTGTTCATCCATCAATCTCATAAATTTACTTTTATAAAATCGTTTCTAAAGTTAACCTCCGATTCAAATTTCCATTCAGTTGAATACTTATTCAAATTAAATCATTGATAATTCTTATAATTTTCAGTGTTTTTTTTTTTTCAGCTAGCAAAAGGACAATAATGAATTACTGACAAGGGAAACCCAAAAACTTCATTTCTACTTACCGGTAGACCAGGCAAGAGATTATTGACAAAGATACCAGCCAGTCTGTGAATGAAAGAACACAATTTGGTTTGAGTTTAGTGTAGAAGAAAAATATTTACTGCGTTTAAATTTAGTGTATTAGAGGCAGGGATATTTACTGGGTTTTAATGGAGAAAATAATATGTTTTATTGTTAAATGTTAATTATTAACTGGTTTTGAATTAAGTACATTCATTTAGTAATCAATAAATTATCAAGTAAATATAAAACCCAGTGATAACTATTGAGCTTTTTATAGGGTAAACATATTGGGACACTGGAGAAAACAAACAAACAAACAAACAAACACACACACAAACAAACCACATCTTGATTAATGTATTTGGATTGTAACTGCCATGGGAAAAAAATTCAAATTTTATTTTAAAACTTTAAAAAATAAATCGAATATACTGAGAAACTTACAAAAAAAGATTAATTCTTTTTTTTTTCATTGCATCCACAAGTTTTGTTATAAAATTGTATTCATATGATTTCAAACATTGAAACGACAAAAGCTCTGAGTAAACAACCGTTAAAATACATGCCTGAGTAGTTGACCTTCATTTACATACACACATTAGCATATTCATTGTAAGAAAGTAATTTATCATAAACGCGTTAAATCAATATGCAAATGAGCAATGATCACACCACTTTTAGTCCATTAATTACTGAAGGGAACAAACATTAACAACTGACCTGGTAATTCGTGGTTCTATTCCAAACGTATGCAAGAAGAACCCAGTGTTGACTAATACTCCCCAAACTGGCAGAATCAGTAGGCCCATTATGATAAAACTCTGCTGCAGGACGAGACCTACTCGCTTCTTGTTTTTACTTCCAAAAGTCTGAAACAAATTATTCAATGAATTCAATACCTCCCCAAAACAAAAAAACAAAAACATTTCTAATTGATTTTGAAACTAGCAATGTTGATAGTTGACTCTCTGGATCTCAGTAAAAAACAAATCACTTCAAAATTTTGCCATCAAAATTTGCTCTCTGACAAATTACTTTGGTTTTAATATTAATTGTTTATATAGGTATAATGTTAAGTTGAAATAAATTAAATATGAAACTGAATTAACATTTATATCGGAGGCTGGGAAATTTAGATCAATTTGGTATACATTGACAATTCAACACCCCAGATAATAGCAGTTACCCGGTAAGTAGTTCAGATTAGTGTTTGATTTTAAATAACTTTAATTTCTTGTCACAAGCTTTACTCATGATAATTGTAAACTGCGATATTTTCACCGCCTAAAATTTTCTAAAATTAATAAGTTACAGTACATGATTCTTTGCCTAAACAACGCCATTAGAGCGTTATTCACCACTTCAAACTCACGTTAATTTTGCACCTATAAATAAAAGTGACAAGTACACTGTCCCCACACTAACCATTTATTTTCACTGAAATTTAATTTTGTTATTTTGATGACATATGCACTGTGTTTTAATTTCATGAATTTGTCAAGGAAAAGTGTTTTATTAGTTTATATGTTCATGTGCATTTAATTTAGCGGATTTGTTATCAGCGAAAATAGCGAAATTAATAAAACCCAGTGAATAATTAATGCATTTACAGTACACACTTCTAAACAGACCATATTGCTACCCAGGATAATATATGTACGCTTTATTGACTTATCGTGACTGCTATATAACTAACAATAACTAAGATATATGATATGATAAGAATTGACTGACCTGAGAAAACAAAGTGTCACAAGCTGTAGCCATACCATTACCAACACAGACACCAACCACGGATACAATCTGAAAACATACACAGTAGTATATATTCAACTGGGGACATTCACTACCATGTATGTCGCTTAATTTTTACTGCTAGTAAGTTTTTCGCAATTTTAAGACTTTATGGTATTTGCGAAAATAAAATTGTTCAAAGATCAGACAAAACCCCGCAGAAATTTTCAGTGATAGAAAATTTTGCAAATTTCCACTGTCTTGCAAAATTACAAAAATTCGTCTAACTTTTTCACCACTAAACTTCCTTGCGTACATTTTTCTACACTTTTTTCTTATATTCTTTAATTTTTCAGGAAATGAAACCTAATTTTTAAACTAGCAGAAGAAATTTGAGTAAATTTTCAGTTTTTACTCAAAAAATTTGGTTATTTTTGTTGCAATCTGCTGAAGGAAAGTGCAGACTAAAAACAAGACTATTGTATGAATTTGTGATGGAAGTGGTGGTGAAAACGTTGAAGCTATTTACAGTATTCTAGAATATTTTTTATTGAAATTTTCGAACTGGTTTGCACGTTGTTTATGTGAAAATAAATCCTTTAGGTCAACTTGATTTGCTATTCTCTGAAAAATTACATTCTGGGTCTAAACAAGCAGCCTGTCGGCTGAGATAGCTCCGCTGTTGGCAATGCACATGGCAATTAAAGAACAGAAGATATCATTAGAAAATGAACAAATCTGAGAGGTCCACATGTAGTACCTATATGTATAATATATCAAAACAATTGGACTTGCGGTTTTCAACAAGAAGTCGAAAATATCACTTTTTACCAAAAATTACAAAAATATTCATCAAAATAAGAGAATTAAAGATATCATCATGAAAAGAACAAATCTGAGAGAAGTCCACAT